TTCTACAAAAAATATAACTATATATTTATTGATATCATATTATTTATCTTATATACTTTTCTTCTTTATACTCTAGTATCATTATGTAAATATAATTAAACTGTAACATGTATATCTTAAACGCCAATAACCCTGGTAGTTGAGGCGTATTTCTAAATAAAAAAAAAAATAAAAAAAAAAAAATTAAGGTATTTTAATTATTTAGTGATCACTAAATGTTAGTAGATAACTAAGAAATTGTAAAATAACGAGGGACATATTTTTAAAAACAAATAAATATTAGCCTGATAAAAATTTAAATGTAATTTCAAAAATCTATTGAAGTGTACACTAGCTTATTAACTGGCTGTGCTATTACACGGTTTAGTAACTACAGTTTTGAAGGAATTAAGTGACAAACTGACAAACTATTACATCGAGGATAAATATTATTTCTCGCTTTGTTTATAATGATTAAAGTAACATTTATATATTTTGTACATAAATTTACATATATTGATCATATTATAYCACATCTCAAAATAATCTGATATTTTTATTAATATATACCAACATAAAAAAAAGAGTGTAATGTGCAAATAATGAAGTAAACAAATACAAAAAATTGATGATCAGTGATAAACACTATATAGATATATTGGTTATTTACATTTGCTGTATTTTTTATTTGGTATRTATTGTAACTTTTTAATGGTTTTTTTTATGTGCATAGAGTGTTTTATAAAATGTTATACGATACCAACGGAAAACAACTACAACACCAACAACACTCAATCGGAGGTAATTCATCAAAACGCAGTGGAGGTTTAATAAAGCAATTATCTAGTGCTGCTAGTGGGAGTCAAAACTCTCATCAACAAAATCGGTTGAGAATGTTATTAAAACGTAGTTCAGAACCATTGATTCAACACAATCATCAACAGCAGTATCAATCACGGGTGAATATACTTGCTATTTTTCATGAAACGTTTTTGTTATGTTTAGTTAATAAACAAGAAAACAAATATTAACCTCATAACATTTTATAGATCTACAGTATTAATCGATCTATAGTTTCATCTTTGGGGAGCTAAAGGAACATAGATGTTTATATTTATAAATATAACCATAACAAATGTTTATAGTTAAAAAACCGATTACTTTATGGTTGATTTAGATTTTACTTTATAAAAATCACAAGGATTAACATAATATGTATAAATAATGAGTTTTTAAWTTTTTAAAAAATGATTGATTATGCTAATGGTTGGCATAATAGCCACAATTATCAATTTTTTTATTTTCATTATCAATTTCTAATTTTAGGGTTAGCAATAATAATAATAAAACCTTTAGTACATATTATTTAACAAACTTAACTTCTAAAGGATCATTATATTTTTACACTTGCACATTACTGAAACAGTAAAACATTTAGTATAGTATTTAAATACGTCATAAAACTAATTGAAATATTCTAATGGAAGAATTGAGACTACGTAAGTAAACACTGTAGCAAAAAATATTTTATAATGGTTTGATCTAAGAATATATTATTTTATACTACACTATTCTCATCTTATATACAATATAAGGACCATTCTATCACTGTTTCATAAATATATAAATAGTTCTTGATTTCCCAAATACAATACATTATCACGAGATACTAAAAAATATAAAATGTGAACTACGATATAATTATGTTGAGTAAATATTGTATTGTAGTTATTATAAATTTATCTCCATTAAATATCGTACGTTGACAGTATATAGTATTATATAATAATATTATGATGGGTTGAATGTGTTTTTGATAGCTGTATTATAATAGAGATAAGTGTTCTATATTATATTATTTATTTTATGTCTTATGTGTTGCTGTTGACAAACAAACCTGTGCCAAAATATAGCAACAGCAAAAATCACCACCGAATAGGAATAGCATCAAGAACAATAGCAAAATGGTGGCTGCCGGATCCAACGCATCAACGTCTTGGTCGAAGTATAAACGAGGAAGTGCCGTTGGAACTGCGGCGACATCGATAAGTAATGCTGCAAATGTAATGTCAACGACGGTGATAATAATCGAAGAATTTGACGCCGACGTGTTCCGGCAACTGGTAGAATATGTTCACACTGGTTGTGTGACATTGCAACCACGAACATTACTAGGTAGGTTGATATAAATAATAATAATAATAGACATCTTTGTGCATATMTATTATATAATATTTTATTTTGTTTATAAGTTATATGCAACTCTTAATTCAAAARAAAAAAAACATAGTCTTCTAAAAAGAGTCAACAATTTATTATATGGGTTTCTGATTGTTAAAGATTTATAAAACGAAAAGGTTTCGAAATGGCCGGAGTTTTTCAGAATTACTTAGTATTAATTTTTAATGCTCCTATAATAAAACTAATAAACGACATTGAAAGTTWTAATAATACCTTTAAAAATATATCAGTACAATACTACTTTATTGTTAACGTGTATCAACTATCAACCCCATAAAAAGTCTGTTGAATTTGTGTGTGTTTATTTAATGACAAGTAATAAGTGACAATGAATATTTTTCTGAAGCACTTAAGTTCGTATTATAATTCATATCGATTAACCCGTATTAAGTTAATTATAATTGTAATAAAGTTGAAAGGTACAATAGAGTTCGTTATATCCGCGTGTATGCGCCATCATTGATTTTATAAAATCAATGTCATAACTGGCTTACACACTAACACATTATAGCAGTCTGCTTGTGTGAACTTAAACTTTAATGATATGATTAAAACTATAACATTAATAAAGAGTTTGTTCTTAATGTCATTACTTATAAAATTGACGTAGGAATAAAACGATTTTGGAGACAGTCGGTACATATTCCGTATACAATCATCGTCGACTGTCATAATAATTTCAATTCTACATCAAATACGCTTATTTCGTAATAATATACGTATAAATACTGTTTGAGAGGATTTCAAAATGATTTCATAATGTATAACAAAGGCCCGAGTTCAAATGCTCTAAGAACCTCAGAGATATGCACTAAACAGTATACATTTATGCTCTTATTTTGTAGGAATATACCCTATAAAATAAAAAATATGCAAAAAAAAACTTTGTATTTCGGATCTATTGACTATACTTGTAACTTACTTAATTATTTATTGGACTGTTAAGAAAAAATATGCAAATGTATATAAATCCGGCTCCTAATTATTACTTACATTTTTTTACCGTTTATTTTTTTWAAAARACAGTTATTTGTGCCTCCTCTTTTCTCGTAGACTATAATTTATGCTCACGCGTTAGGGTCTAAGTGTCGATTGACCATCAACCTAATTGTTCAATAATTTATCGCCGTTTCCACTGCAAAAGTGTTGTTTTATCAGGCGTGTTGAATGCGGCCGACTGTTACGGATTGGACGAGCTGCGAGCCGCCTGTACGGGTTTCGCCGACACGGGCGGCGGCATCACTGTGGATACAGCTTGTGCGCTGTTGGCGTCCGCCGAACGTTACATCCACTACAAGTGCACCAAATCGTTGGTGCAAAAAGTACGAATGGGATGGGTGAAGGGGGTTGAGAGGGTAAACCACTATTGGCAATTTCGTGTGTGCTATGTACCACATAACCGATAACAAATAACATACTGTTATGGGGGTTGTTGTTGATATTATTTCTGAAAACAGTTGAAAACTTTCTTGAAAATCTAACTAGGCCTACGATATTATTGTAGGRTGGGTAAATTTCAAAATTCAAAAAGTGAGAACAAAATTAATGAAAAGTTTCTAAGTTTCTGTATTTTTCATTTTTTGTTGATTCYCACATATACAAACAAACAATTATTATTTGTAAACACTACTAAACAGATAAAGTAAATTAAACATTTATTTGGTACTAATGTTATTATTTCCAAAGGTTATAAATGTAAAATTCAAAATTGCATTAAACGCGTCTTATGCATAAATTAAAATTTTGACTTATTCTAACTTGGTCAGTTTTGTAAATAAAAAAAAACTTTTGATACAAAAAATATTTAAAAAATAGTTATCTATACGAATATGTAGAAAAAAAATAGTGTTTCCATTAAAAAAAAAAATTAAGTTGTATAGYGCATGCGCACACTAATAATAGTGTTAAACATTTGAAATTTATCTGAAAATATGTATTTATGTACTCCCTAGTCCCTATCACCACCCTAAAACCCAATTGCAATACAAGGACATCCACCTGATATATTTAGTGTTACCTTAAATCGTGATCACATTGTGAATTACCATGCCTTAGGGAATTATCATGCTCATTGCTCACTCCTTTTTTTTTACTTTTGTAAGACATCTGGCAACCATATAKCTTTTACAATATCGATACAATACACGATTTCGTCAGATGATGAAAATTGCCAGCCATTGTAACGATAAAAAACATACACGCTAATTGCCGGTGGTGATTTACCTTCAGGATGTGTCTAATAGCTACATTAATATACATATGACATAAATTATACTTATTATGCATTTATATGACGACGACACATATTACCTCCATCCACCCAACCCACCTGTAATACATGTACATAATATGTACCTAAATATCATCCTGTGTGCGCGTGTAAAATGTTCGTTTGATGTTGTGAAACGTAATTATTATCACCATCATCATCATAATCATCATCATAATCATCATCATCATCATCTTTTGTTACCCATGTATATTACACAATATTATATATTGGTTTTAATTGAGCGTTGATTTTTTTGCCGTTATACATTATATTTGTTTTTTGTACTATTCCCTTTAGTTGTATTATTGAGTGTGCTGTGCGTGTATCTATGACCTGTGTGCGTTGAAACTAAAAAATTACCGCGACGTGTGGTACAATATTTTTTTTGGTTTTGTGTTCTTGTTATAAAATACAATAATATACAACATATCATATTATTATTTGTTGACARAATTTTTTTTCACTCCCTATCTGGTCGCTTAATTTGTACAATGTACGTACGTATGGTATGCGTCATTATTTATCATTGCAAATACAATCATCACTATCATAATTGTTATTAACTAGGTATATGGGAGTGGACGACATCGCTTTCCAGGCAGTTCACGCTGTATCAAAAGAGAGGCCGCTGCCTCCCACCCGCGCAT